CCCTGACTGCTCTTAGGGATGGAGAGGGAGGAGGAGAGGGAGTGGGGGGAGTGGGAGGGTGTTGGGAGGAGGGGCTGAAATGGAAACTTTTATAATTTAATAAAAAAAAAAGAAAAAAAGATTGAGCCTCTGGAACAGTGCGGATAGAAGCAACTCAACTTGTAGGAGGCGGGGCTTTCTTGGGTCACTAAGGTTTGTGTCTACAGAAGAGGTGATTGTCCTTTGACTTTTCTCCTTTCTTCTGCTTTCCAGCCATGAGGTGAGCAGTTTGCTTCACCACACCATGGTGTCGACCCCTGCCATTGCCACATAGGCCCAAAGAAATAGGCCCACGTGATCTTGAACGGAAGCCCAAAATAAACCTTTTGTCTTTATAAATTTGTTGTCACAGGGGCTGGCTGGAGAGATGTCTCAGTAGTTAAGAGCCCTGGCTATGCTTCTAGACACCTCAGGATCACCTCCTATTACAAGCTTGGCAGCTCACAATGGCCTGCCAATTCCAGTTCGAGAGGACCGGATATGCCCTCTTACAGCCTCATAAGGTTTATGTGTGCACATGTACAAAACCACTCATATGCTTGATAAATTAAAGATAAAAGTAATAAATTAGTTAGCACAGGTAATTGATACTGCTGAGAAATGAATAGCAAACACCAATGCTTCTCCACATTTTCCCTACAGAGAACAGAACCTAGGCCTACTCCGACTCTTGTATAACAACTGAATTTTAATTTGTATGTTTTCCTAGCACAGGGCAGTAAGAAATTTGTCCAGTTATGTTATCCTTTATTCCAAACAAAATTTGACAATACGAAGGTAAACATTTACTGAATGGAGGCCTGACCTTAAACAGGGCTCTCATCCCTGGACAAATACTTTAGCAAAGGGCTGCTGAAAATAATCAGACGTTCAGATAACATAGCCATTTGGGAAGGCTCTGACCCCACCTTTAAAACTATCAATCTTTCTTATCACCGAGGAGCGTTAGCCTAAAATTTGCAGTTTATTAATCAAATAAAAAAAACATTAAGACACTGGAATCAAGTTTTACCTATTCAAAATGCCAAGTGAAAATGAATCAAGGTAGATGAAATGAGTCCTGGTGTGATTGTTCTTTCTGCTTGGTCTCAATGGCATTGCTCATTAAACCTTTCTCTGTCTTTCTCACTCAATAAAATAGAGACTGCAGGGAGCTGGGAGCAGGTAATCAAAGCAAGAGAACAATGCCTCTCTGTCTCTGTGGAACAGTTCTTCCTTTAATACTTTGGAGAAGAAAGCCCAGAAAATCAGAGGCCGACAGCAGCTGAGAGGAACGGCCCTCTTAAGTACTTTCATGTCAGGCTGAACTGAAACCCGTGAACCAGCACAGAAGTCAAAAGAGTCTCAGAGTCCAGACTCGATATGTGGAAATGAGATGAGTTAGCAGAAAGACTCTGAGAAAAACATGTGCATGTGACGATCTTAAACAGTTACGTAATATGAAGAGAAAGCAGCAGAAACGGACACCATGCTTATTGCTTAAGCTTTCCTCAAAGATATTTCTTTGACTCTAATGTTTATATGTTCACCAAATTGAATATGCCAACAGAGATAATACTTTAAAAATGCATGAATACGCATTGTATTCTGCACAATCTAACATCAATTAAAATTGCAATTATCGTCAGCTTTCAAATTTGCAAATTTGAGAGTGTGGCAGTATGCCAGAATCACAGGAATACTTTTTCAACCACAGATAAAGCCTCTTCCAAAATGTGAAAATGCAAGCCTATAATAAAAAGTGCAGTACTTCAGACAGTTTCTATTTCCTCTTACATTAGCACCGTGACTCATAAATTATGCACACATTGACTCCAATGTCAATCCTGCATGGAATTTCATTTCACAAATACAGATTTTCTACTTTCAGAACAACAACCAATACACCAAACCATATAGTAGCACTCCTTTTTGGTTTTATATTTGACCATGTCTTAGGCTACACAGCCTGTAATGTCTTTTTAGCAAGACTGAAATTTCTTTAAGTTCTAGAGTAGCTAGAGAATCTGTGAGTCACAACCCCTCATGCAGGCTGCATATCAGATATTTACATCACAATTTATAATCATAACAAAATCATAATCATGAAGTAGCAAGAAAACAGTTCTATGGTTTGGGGTCACCACATCACAAGGAACTATATTAAAGGGTCGCAGCATCAGGAAGGTTGAGAACCACTGTACTATAATGAAGCAGGGTCCCAATTGAGAATATAAAACCAAGAGGATGAAATGTTTTGTCCCCACTCCCTGAGGTTCCATTAATGAGACCTAAGCTTGACCAATTGGAAGGCTCAGTCAGTGCTGCACAATCTAGGGAAATTTTGCCAACACAGGATTATTAGCAATGTTTGGGTCCATATTTATTCATCATAGCCCAGGTATGATTGTTACTGGCAACTTGATGCAAAATGTTAATTAGTGACATAAAAAATTGTTTTCTACAGTTAAATTTCCCCTTAAAATATCATATACAGTAAAATGCGTACAAACCTAGAGTAATTTTCCCATGACCTAAATTACTCAACTGTTGGGGGAGGCTGTTCATTCGTTCCCAGCCTCTTAGACCCAAAATAATCACACAAAACTATATTATTTGCAATGCTGTTTGGCCAATAGCTTAAGCATATTTTAGGAAGGTCTGATATCTAGAACTAACCCATTTCCATTATTTTATATTTTACCACAAGGCTTGTGGTCTACTGGCAAGGTTCCAGCTGGCAGTTTACGTCTTTCCCCTCTGGCAGCTACATGGAGTCTCCCTGACTCTGCCTACTCTCTGTCTATATTTTTTCCAGCCTGGCTATATTCTGTTAAGCTATTGGCTGAAAGAAGCTTCTTTATTTATTAACCAATAAAAGCAACACATATACAGAAGGACTTCCCACACAATTCCCCCTTTTCCGTTTAAATAAAAAGGAAGGTTTTAATTTTAACACAGAAAAATTACATACAAAAAAACCAGGTCAAGCAAGAATTACAGTTATAATATTTATATTTATTTTATTTATTATAACTAAGGAAAACTATAATTTTAAATATCTATTCTTCAACTCCATCAAAGATTTAGAAGGATATAATATTACCTAAGTAAACAGAAAGTGCATTGTAAACAACTTCCAAAACTCTAGAATTGACAGAGACTCTCTGCCTGCACAATCACCCAAGGTTCTTCTGTTTCGTTGGGACATCCATCTTCAGCCCACAGCCCCATAGTATCTGGTAGACTTTTCTGTGAAGCAGGAAATTTTAAAGGCAGTTCAGCCTACATTGGCAGTTTGCCAGTCACTTTCTTCTGTGTCCTGCAGAATGTCTGGCAGACTCTTTCATGAAACAGGGACCCCCTAAGGACCATCTCACTTTAGGCAAGTTTAGCACCACTCAAATATCTTTGTAATTATTTCTGGGACTTTATGTCTACTTTGACGATAACATAAAAATGTATTACCATCCATTTGTCAACATTATAGTGCACCTAAGAACCACACACAGAAGCAGAACCACACATAAAAAGAGTAAGTGGGACAAAGAAATGAAGATTTGCAAAGAGCTTCAAAGGTACAAATGGTGATGGCTCAGCATATAAAATAATAGCAACACAAGAATGATGATTGAGTTCATGTCCCCAGCAACTACTTAAAAGTCAGGTATGTTGGCATATGTCATATTGGACATACCACCAGGAAATAGGAGATAATCAGATCCCAGGAGCTCAGCGACCAATAAATCTAGCCAAAATAGTGATCTTCAGAGTAAGTGAGAGATCTCCTCTCAAAAAATAAGGAGAAGAATAGAGCAAAACACCAAAAGAAACCTCAGGGTTCTACACATGTGCATACACATCCATTTACCACATACAAAAAGAAAGAGCAATGTGAAAAAAGAGACACTGTACAAATGGCTAAGAATATTAGAAAATAAAAGTTGGACATGACATTGTAGCTTCATTTTAAAGTGTCTTATATGCCATGGGAATCAGGGTTTTACTCACCAAATGACAATATTTTATAAATATATTTTAATTAAAATATAATTACATCACTTCTTCCCTTCCCATTCTTCTCTCAACCTCTCCAAATCACCAATTAAAGAAGAAACCCACTTTGAGCATCTTTGTCAGTTTATACATCTGATAGGAGATTAATACTCATAATATACAAAGAACTCAAAAACAAGGAGCCAAGAAAACAAATGATCCAATTAAAAATAGGCCACCAAACTCAACAGAGAGTTCCCAAAGGAAAACATAAAAATGGCTAAGAAATAAATTTAAAAGTATTCACCATCCTTAGCAGTTAGAGAAATGATAACTAAAGCTAACTTGAAATTTTAAGGAAAATGAGAAAGAAGAAAATTTAGATGATAATCTAAAATGGACAGAGCTAGGTGAGAAGGAGCCTGTGTAAGAGACCATCCATCACATAAAAATGAGAAGTAGCCTCTTTAGTTCTGGTGACAATAACAATAGACAGCAAAAGACAGAAGAGCATTTTAAAGTATTCTCAACATTTGCTTGTCTTCCCAAGTAAAAGGAGTCCCTTTTAGTACTATAAAATATGAATTAAAGGATTAAGATAATCAAAATTTGCTCACATATAAATCTGTGTTTTCGGGGGCTGGAGACATGGCTCAGTGGTTAAGAACGCTGGCTGCTCTTCCAGAGGTCCTGAGTTCAATTCCCAGCAACCACATGGTAGTTCACGATCATCTGTAATAAGATCTGGTGCCCTCCCCGGCATGCGGGCATACATGCGGGCAGAATGTGCGGGCAGAATGTTGTATACATAATAAATAAATAAATCTTTTAAAAAATAGAATAAATCTGTGTTTTCTTCTAAGATTATAAAGAATCATTAGTGCATGCCAAGATATTTAAAATGGCTACATAATGAGATCATATGTTAGCTATATGTTCTATATACTATATACTAACAAACATGGTGAGAAAGTTTGTGACATTACCTGCTCCAAGACTTCCTTATAGGTGATAGTTGCTTTAGTGTTTGTGACAGGACTGTCATAGATGATTGCAATCTTATCGCCTTGGCCATTTTCAATGTGCCGATCAACAGCATTGTAACAAATATTGAGCATCCCTTCCACAAACCTGAAACACATTGGAAAGAAAAATAAGTGACTCTTCACACTACATTTTTTTTTTGTCTAACCACTTTGCTCTATACCTGCTGTAGTTGTCCGTAGGATGGTGCTTCCTACAGCCTTTCATGCTGGGAAAGGATGACGGTAAAGCACATATTTAAAATGACACCCAGAGAACATTTTTACTTTAATAAATATGGATTTATAGTCATGTATAATGGAGAAAACACACTTGGTACTTTCAACTGACAGCTTTGTGGATACTATTGCTCAAGATGAAAGGGGAGTCTACAGTACCTGAGGAATATATTTATAGAGGTAAAATGAATCCTATGTAAGTGTAGTGCCGAGGCAATAGAGATTATGCAAAGGGAGATAGGAGATGTAAGGTGGACATTCTGCTAGCTGGTACAAATAGACGAACACTTAAAAAGCTAGTTCTTGGAAATATATTGTCATTGTTAGCTTCATATGTCAGCTTGACACAATTGGAAAGAGAGAATTCACTGAAGGTTTTTTTTCCCATTGGACTGTCTTATTTACATGTCTTTGGGGACACTTATTAATTATGAATTAGCAGGGGTGTATCCATCGCACTGTGGACGGTACCATCCTTGGTCACATGGACCTGAACTGTATACAAGAACAAGCAAGGGGAAGCAAGCTAATAAGTAGGATTCTTCTGCAGCCTTTCCTATAATTCTTAGCTGCAAGTTCCTTCCTTGGCTCTCTCCATGATGGAGTGTAACCTACATCAATCCAAACCTTTCTAGAGGCCACGTGGTCAGTGAGGCAGGTAGTTGACCTCCAGACTTTCACTCGTTTTCATCTCTTCTAAACCCAATCCCCCAGTCTCATACTCAGCTCTGTCGCAGACGGTTAGCTATGGCCTTTCCTCCTCTCTGCCCCCATTCTCGGGGGACTAAACAGATCCTGGTGTAACCACCGGCTTTCCTCCCTCCTGTGGACCCCCTCAGGAACTCTTTTCTAGCCCCTCTCCACCCTTAAGTGTCAGCTCCCAACTCAAAGAAACAGTCTAACTAAAACCGCAGTGGTCACACCTGCCAGAATCTCAGAAGCGTTCTCTACCTGGCAGTCCACAGTAACCACACTCTCCTAAGATCCAGACAAGGCAAGGGTAACAGAGGAATGTAATACCAACCCAACAAAAACAAGACCAGATATCAGCACCTAGTTTTCAACCAATAAAAATCCAGATGCTTAGAAGCCGCGTGAAAGGATAACATCTAGAATAAAATGTCCTCCACTAAAGCCAAACATCCTTACTACTGCAGGCCATGGGACACACAGCATAGACGAAGCACAAGACAAGGTTTTCCCAATAGCCTTTAAGAACATGTTACAGGCTCTTAAAGAGAAAATGGATTAATTCTTTAAAGAAGGCCACGAAAACACAGACAAACAGCAGGAAGAAATGAAAACAGCTCAAGACTTGCAAGAAGAAATTGAATCAATTAAGAAAACTGAAACTGGGAGAAAACTGAAAATGGAAAAATAAAACAGGATTTCCAACAGACGTCGCCTCCGAGTAAAAGGGTGGAAATGATATGCCAAGAGATGAGCCGAAGAAGGAAGCTAGTGTAGCCATTTTAATATCCGACAAAACAGGCTTCGACCCAAACTAATCAGACAATATTTACAAGGATGTTACATCCTTGTCAAAGGAAAAATCTGCCGAAAGGACATGGCAGTTCTGAAAATCTACACAGCAAACTAAAGGGTACTGCAGTTCATAGAGAAACACTACTACAGCTTAAATCACATATTAACTCTCACACACTGATAGTGGGAGACTTCAATACTCCACTCTTGCCAAGACACAGGTCATCCTGAGAAAAACTAAACAGAGAAATGCTGGACCTAACCGGCATTATAAGCCAACTGGACCAAACAGATATTTATAGAACATTTTACCCAAACCAAAGGATATACCTTCTCTGCACTTCATGGAACTTTCTTCAAAATTAACCACATATCAGACACAAAGAAAGTCTCACCAAAAAAAAAAAAAATTGAAATACCCTGCATCCTATCTGATCACCATTTATTAGGGCTTGATATGAACAATAGAAAGAACCGGAAAAATTACAAACTCATAAAAACTAAACAGCTCACTACTGAACGAAAAATGGGACAAAACAGATGTAAAGAAGGAAAGTAAATACTTTCTATAAATGGATGAAAACGAACACAAAACATACCTGAACTTATGGGTTACACTAAAGGTGGTTCTAAGAGGAAAGTCTGCACGAGAAGGGGTCATTAGCTGAAAGAAGTGGACACATGCTCCCATCATTAACCCAGAACCATCTCCAAGTGGATAGCCATTTGCAAATGAAAATTTGGCTTTCTCCAAAAGAGTGCCACTGGGAACACAGGCTACTCTAATGGCAGGATATTAGCGGAGACTGTTTTGTCATTCATATGATTGTGCGCTTAGCCTATCACAAGGTCAACAGACACAAGGCGGAAACTTCAGTGTCCATGTGAGCAATATGTGGTCTCGGCAAACATTTTGGAAACACTGAATAGTATTGGTGTTGTATATGAAAAGTTTGATATATTCCAAGGTGGAATTCATGCAGAAGGCATTAAGAGTATTCTCAAACTGGCCAGTCCAAGCATAGTTGTATATGAAGTGATATTTAAAGTAATTAAATATTATTCCTTAAGTTTGGGGATAAAATTGTGTATTTTTGAATGACATAAATAACTGATTTGTCTACCCTGCTTCACTTTTCTTCAGCTGATTTTATACAGTCAAATTATATTATTTTAAAAAATAGGTAGCTTTTCCGGGCTGTGGTGGTACATGCTTTTAATCCCAGCACTTGGGAGGCAGAGGCAGGCGGATTTCTGTGAGTTTGAGGCCAGAATGTTCTACAAGAACTATAGTACAGGCTACAAAGCTACAGAGAAACTCTGTCTCAAAAACCAATAATTTTTTTTAAAAAAAAACATAGGTAACTTCTTAAATCCAGTCATTAATTCCATGTCTGTACTTCACTTAGTACCAACCAACCACAAGAATTTCCAAAGCTCTACATCTGTTTTTTCTATAATAGTACTTGCCACATTATATTAGCAGTGATCTGCTGTATCTTTCCTTTGTTACATTATAAACTACCTGAGAGCTGAGACCATGGCACCCTTCTAACCCAGTGATCTCCTGTGTGATTTCTGTTCACTATGGGCTCAGTGAGCAGCTGACAAATGAATGAATTAAAACACCAGTAACTCTTCACATTACAGATCCAGGTTAACTTACTACCCCCTTTTAAAAATAAAGTGAACTATGACTTAGGGACACCAAGGGCACTTATTTAGGAACGGCAGAAAGTCATATTTGAAATCAAAATATTTAGACATCTAGACTAGAGTCATTGTATATATTATATCTCGCTGTGGCCTATATAAATATAATTTTCAATATTTGGGGTTTTGCTGATACAGTGTGGGTGGAAAGGCAGACACTTCATTCCCATCTTAGGTCTAAATTCTGATTAATAATAGAATTCCTTGATATCCCTGGGAGATGAGCTGGGGTAAAAGGTCAAGCTTCATCGATGTTCTCATTCTCCGTCCACAGTGAGAAGATGGGAGTCTCCACAGTACCTTTCATCTTCTGACCTCCTTAGTTTAGTAAGAATGAATGTTCTAACTAGTTCATAACTTATCAGACATCAGCTGGAAAGTCAGGGCTGTCGGGTCGTTTCCTTATAGCCTGTCCTCCTCCCTCCCCCCACCATGACCAACTGATGCCTGCTCTGCTCTGCTTTTCCTGGTGAGAACTGTGTTAAAACCAGTGTTTTCTGTGGTATTGGGAAGGATCAGGACACTTGTCATTAGCATGTTCTGTACAGGCAGGCTTTCCTTTTCCTGCTGCTTTTTTCCAAGAGAAAATCTTTGGTTGTAGCTCATTTTTAAGTGAGTGTTCCATCATCCTTCCAGACTGTCAGCTTCTCCAGCATCCAGACTGGGTTACAGAAGCACAAAGAAAACCCAGAGACCTCATTTCTATGCCATTTCTCATGTTCCCTGAATTCTTGGTTGGTTGCCCTCATCTGTCAGCGTCCTTCTTATCTGCACTTGAAATATAAAATTCTGTACTTTTCATTATCTTTAACATAAAGAAAAGGAGACGTGTATTTTCTACCTGGAATCAAAACCAGAAAGCTCTAGTTTTATTTAATTTTTATTCTTGGGCCACTTCTTCATATGCACAAACTCATTAAAACATCTAAATGTTGGTGAGATGCTCAGAGAATAAAAGCCTCATAGTCTGTTAGTCCCCAACACACATGAACAAGACAGTCGTGTATCTGCAATCATGGCACTCCTAACGGGAGATTCAAGGTGGAGACAGTAGAACTGTCCAGAAATTTGTGGGCCAACAAGCCTGGGAAGAAAAAAAATAAAACAAATCCTGCCTCATCAACAAGGCAGAGGGACTTGAGGTATAGCTCCGTTGGTAGCATGGTTGCCTAACAGGCAAAAGGTCCTTGATTAGATCTCCAACATGGCATGGTGACATGTTCATGTCATTCCATCACTCTGGAGGTGGAGTTCACACCATTCTGGGCTATATGAGATACTCCTGTCTCATGAACATAAGTAAGGTAGAAAAAGAGAACCAGCTGCTAAAAATTGCCATCTGACTTCCACATTTGTGCTCTCACATGTGCAAACTTAGACACACACGTACACACATATACATACACACAAGCATACTAATAGTAAAAATTATAAAAGTCCCTCTGAAGAAGGAACCATTATTTTTAATCACATTTTATGTAAATGTGGCAGCTTAAAGAAAACCAAGCCCTTCAACACTGCATGGCTTTTATATAAATTTTACAAAATTTGGATTTTTGCTAATTGTTCGCAACTTATGAATGGCTTAATATTTGCATTATTAACACTTCTCTTTGAAAAATATGCTTTAAAGAAATTTAGGAAAGAATAATGTCCTTTGGGGCAGTTAGG